CAGCCACACACATTTGTTTATATATTGAGTGTGACTGTTTTGTGCTACCATGACTGAGTTGAGTAGTTATGACAGAGACAGTAGATCTACAAAACCTAAAATATTTACTTCCTGGCCTTTTACAAGAACAGTGTACTGACCCCTGTTTTAGATGACCCGTTGCTGTCTGCTAGCCCACAGTCCTCGGTTATGCAGGGATTATCTGATGTGAAGCAGCATGTTGAAGAAGGGGTACGTGCATAAAGGGTTTGAAACACCTGGTTCCAGCACTTGCCATTCGAGGAGCATTCAGCACATTGTTGTGGTACTGTGAGATCTCTTCTTCATCTATAAAACGGGCATGGAAAATGTCTGCCTCACAGGTGATTCTGTGCCCTGCTTGTGAAAGCACTCTGTGGATGTCCGAGCAGGCCCTCAGAGCAACCGTGGACATTATTGCTGCTGTTCTCTTTCTCAGGAGGAGGAAGCCAAGAAACTGGTGAGTGAAGCCATTGCAGCTGGCATCTTCAATGACCTGGGGTCTGGAAGTAACATTGATCTCTGTGTCATCAGCAAGAGCAAGCTGGACTTTCTCCGCCCGTACTCCGTGCCCAACAAGAAGGGGACTAGGTGAGTGAAGGAGATGAAATTCTGCCTGTGGCCCTAACTTCCTTGACCACTCTCAATCTCTCCGTGGCATTTCAACTGGGTTTTCTTGACTGTTAGCCACGTTAGGTTTAAGTGAATCCAGTGTCCCTGGGCCGGCCTTACACAACAGACCTGTGAGTCATTATTTGCTTTATTTGCTGTCAGGTGTAGAAAAGTGATTTAATTTGAAAATGTTGGTGGGAGAGGGAGAGCAGGGCCCAGGAAAGAGCCCTACCCTGGAGGGTTGTGGGGGAGAGGTTCGAATCGCCTGGTGTTCTTTCTCTGGTCTCTTAAAGAAGCCCCTGAATTCTGTATGAAATTCTGTGAGAAGCATTTTTTGGGGACACCAGCCCATAGCTTTTCTCAGAGTGGTCCAGGAGTCGCAAGCAGTTATAAACCATTCGTTAGGAGTCTCTGAAAGTCTTGGGAGCTGACTGGTGCCTCCTGCCCTCCAGGGAGCCCTGTCCTTTAGCCCGTGGCCATGTGCCGAGCAGGCTCTGTGTGTCGGTGGTGCGGCCCGGGCTCGGACTGGGGGACAGGGTTCTAGACGATTTGCTGAATAGAAGCGGAAGGTTTCCAGCCCTCGTGGCTGGAGCATGCAGACGAGCTGCTCATTTGCGGTCTCCCGTGGCCGTCCGGCCGTCCTCTGGCTCCCGGCCTCTTCTGTGGCCTGCGTGGCTCAAGACGTGGCTCCTGACCGCTGCTTCCAGCCGTGTCCGTGCGAATGCAGCACGGCAGGATTTATAAACTCGACCACTTCCGTTTCGCCCCACATCTAGCCCAGAGTGTGGCAAGCACCTTCTGGAATGCTTACTTTAACGCTCACTACTCATACCCAGATTCCAAATCGGGATTAATTCCAAGGAAAGAGTAGAACATTGAGAACTAGCACTGCACTCGGCATTATGGGAACTCCCGTGTGCTCATGGAGGGTAGGGCAGCTCAGCAGCAAGAAGTTCACGCTCAGGGGTTGGAGAAATGTCGTTGCCTGGCGTGTGACTTTGGGCGTGTCAGTGTCCCAGTCTTTGAAATGATGGAGCTAGATTAGGTGATCTCTAACCACCTGTGGGGTACCTGGCGCCATACTGGGGGAGCAGGCTTTGCCAAGCTCCCTGATGGACTGCCTCCCCCATTATTTGCAAGATGCTTCGTGAGCTGAACAAGTCCATGGCGAAGAGTTTGGGGAGGGGGCGTGGTTACACTCCATCCAGACTGAACGGTGTCCTGGGTGAGGATTCCGGAAGCCATGTTTGAGCCACGGAAAAGTATTTGTGTTGGACAAGGAACCTGTGCTCAGCAGTAGCACATCTTCATTCTTGGAGACGCTGGCTTTCCTCTGGAAAGGAGACTGAACGAGAACAGAAACAAAATGATCCCGTCGGCTGGTTGTGAAGATTCAGTGAGGTGGTGTGAAAGGTGCTGGGCCCGTGGCAGGTGTGGGCAGCCTGCTCTCTAGACGGAGCTTGCTCGATCCTCGGTGCCTGGGCCCTGAGGCAGGTGCCATGTGGCGTCAGGCCCCGTGACGACAGTGTGTACTCTGGGATCTTCCCGTCACCTTTTCTGCCAGTGGCTGATCGCTGGGGCACTCCCTGGGGTAGGGGAACCTCTCCCAGAGTGGGCAGTCCGGGGGGAGAGTGCGGGGGCAGAGCCTCGGGCCTGGGCAGGTGCAGACCCGGCCCTGCACCTTCCTCTCGGCTCTGCCCCCAGCCCTCCGCAGCCCTGCTCCGGGAAGGAAGCCCTCTCTGCATGCCGACACCGGGCACCATGACCAGGGTGGCGGGGCGGCTCCCGCGGCCAGGCCTCCCACAGATGTTGTGCTTCGGAGGAGTTGGGCGCAGCAGCCACGTGGGGCTCTGGCTCCAAGAGGACAGGCTGCCAAGGGCCGGTCTGGGGGAGGGAGCCACGTCTTCACACCGGCACGGGCGGGTGGGGCACATCTTTAAAAGGTGCTGCTGGTCCCTCCTTGGGACCCGAAGGTTTGGCAGAAACGCGGCCAGCCATTCTTTGCTGCTCAGGCTCCTCTGACGTCACCCACTTTTTTCTGCTTCCTGCTCCCTGTTTGAGCACAAGTGCCCATTCGAGGGGGTGATTTTCGAGGAGCACGTGGTCATGGCACAGCTAGCAGCCTTCTGTTAGTCCGTGCCAGATTGACAGAAATAATGTCCCAGCTGGGGACAGACCAGAGGAACAGTTGGATTTGTACTGTTTGACGATATTATAATTCCTGGCCCCAGTGTGAGAATTAGCAGCTCAAATGTGGATCTCACAGACCGCTTGTGCTCAGAGAAACCGCTGTCGACTCAGAGAGAGGTGTGGGGAGTGTCGCGGTGATCCACCACGCCGCCACAGGCAGCAGGCCACCCTCCTCGAGGCTCAATGGTGTCGTCAACAGTGACAAGCCCAGAGTGCGGCTGTGGGCCATTTTTATACTTAAAATGTTCTTGAAGTGTTCAAGATAACATTTAAGTCATCCTTTTTTCTATACAAGAGAAGGGTGATGGCGGCTTAACAGATCTGCTTCCCGCTGATACTGAAAGGTGCTCTTGGGAGGTTGATGCTCGAAGGCAAATGACCAAGTGTTTTCCAGCATCTTCTGGGGATGGTAAGGTGGTGGGGAAGGAAATCTGAGTGCCCATTAAGTGCCAGGTGCTCTGCAGGAGTGCTTTTAATGCACATCTCTCCCAGGCGTCCCTATTTTGTGGCACTTGAGCACCGAGGAGAGCCAGCCTTGGGACGGCTGAATGAATCCCCCCCCAGGCTACAGAGCAGGGAGTCAGGAGAGCCAGGCTCTGCGTCCGGGCTGTTCGCCACCTTACCTGAGCGCATGTCCCTCGCTCCGGCCCCGTGTGGGGCCCCTTGAGGAGATCCTAACTCGGCCTTTGTTTCTGTCCCGTTAGGTTTGGCCGGTACAGGTGTGAGAAAGGGACCACCGCAGTCCTCACGGAAAGGGTCACTAGCCTGGAAGTCGAGGTGCTGGAAGAAACCGTGCAGACGATGGACACTTCCTGAATGGTGTCCGTGGATTGGGGTGGCGGGGTTACTGCTCTACCGGACGGGGGGCAGTGGAGGCTCCCCCGTAAGACATTCATTTGGCAGTGTGTGCTGATGAAACCCAATAAAAAATGAAAACCAAACTGAGTGGCTGAGGTCTGGGGGTCGTGTGGTTTTTTTGGCCACCGAGGCTCAGTGACCTGGCCCGAGTGCCAGTCTGCGTTCAAGCAGGCGTGAGAGCAACGTAACCCTCCTGAAAGCGGGTGAGGCCTCATCCGTTGCAGAAGTCAGATGGACCTTTCTCCCCACCCCTTGTGCTACTTCTCTTTCTTCAGGGCGGTCCCAGGTTTTCTCGTTTTGTTTTTTTAGGGTGAGGGCAGCACAGCCTTTTACCTCAGCAGCCAAATAGGAAGAAAGTAGAGACGATCAGTTCTAAGTACCCAGAAAATGCAGGTAGGTTAGGTGGACGGTTTGCTTCTCCGTGGCTGTGTACAACTGGGTGCGCTCCACTTGGGCCAGTTTCACGAAGTCAGAGGAACGCTTGGCGCTGTCGGTAATGAGTAGGATACCATCATTTCACAGGCACTCAGGCCTGCTGAATGGTTGAAATCTCACGCCTCCAGAGCGTTCTGGAGTAGGCGGTGTTGCTCTCATAGTGTTGGACGTAGATGGCATGCGGAAAGCGAGTTCATCTGGGTCTGAGGCGGATTCTGCCAAGGGTGACACAGTAGAGGCTCAGAGCCTTAAAGAGTAGGTGTTAAAAGAACCTGTGTGGGGGCGCCTGGGTGGCGCAGTCGGTTAAGCGTCCGACTTCAGCCAGGTCACGATCTCGCGGTCCGGGAGTTCGAGCCCCGCGTCGGGCTCTGGGCTGATGGCTCAGAGCCTGGAGCCTGTTTCCGATTCTGTGTCTCCCTCTCTCTCTGCCCCTCCCCCGTTCATGCTCTGTCTCTCTCTGTCGCAAAAATAAACGTTGGAAAAAAAAAAAAAAAATTTAAAAGAACCTGTGTGGAATCCGAAAAACCTTCAGTGGTAGAGGCGAGGCGGAAGATAGGGCTTCGACTCTCCCCTAGAGATGGCGTGCTGGGATACACAAGAAAGAGTCCCGGCACCAAGGTCTTCCAGAAGGAACCCACTCTCGGTCCAGCCCCCCCTTGTTAAAACTGCAGAGAGAGGGGTAGGGAGAACAATGCAATTACTTAGGGCAGCGTTGTGGCTGACCATTGTCAGAATTATCTGGGGAGCTGAAGAAAATTCCAAGATTACTCAGAATGCCTGGGGTCGGAGAAATGTTTTTTAAAGGCGCCTCAAGAAATGTTGCTGACACACGAAGCTGTTGTAAAATGACGAATCCATGAATTGTACACATTCACAGAAGTGACCCCTCTTACCCCGTTTTATTTCAAACATGGAGAACAAGTACAAAGCAAAGGTTGCATCTGAAGAAAATGTCTCAAACCCGACAGTGTTACAGTAGAACAGAGTTCACACATGGAAACAGAGCAGTGGCCCAGCCCAAGTCCTTTATCCCCAGCGAGGCCTGGGCCCCTGGTCAGCAAGTTGGCTGCAAGCGGACCACCTGACCAGAACGCTAACAGAGCGGGCGGGCATGTCTCTATCTAGCTGGAGGGCTGAACTGTCACCAAGTCAGCAGGTGACAACTTAGACCATTTGAGGATTAACTTGAGTATAAGCAAACGATTTCCTTCAGAGCTTGAGTTTTCCTTAAGTTCACATTTATAAATTAGTCTTCACAGTTAATCCTATTTGGGAACAAATAAATGAACATAGTTCTGGTTTCCTACGCATAATACAGCTGTATGTTAACTCTTGACTTACATGGTCCATGGGTCAGTTTTGTGAAGGGGGGAGTGGCAACCATTTTGGGATCGTCTGCAAGGCGATGATGCTAGGTAACCTGCAGATTTTATTTCAAATTCTGTCAGCAACGCTGAAGGTAGATAGTCTTAGTCCCAGTTTACAGATGAAGAAATTAAGGCTCAGGCTAAGGAAGATGCCCAGGGTCGCGGCAGGAAGTTGCAGAACCAGAACTTGCACAGAGAACAGCCCAAGGGCATGTTTTATATTTGTTTTGTTTTGTTTTTTTTTTTTTTTGGTACCCCATGCTTCCTTCCCACAGAGGACAACGCTTAACACTGATTGTTAAGTGACCTGCCAGCACTGAAGCAGGTGACAGAAGTGCCTGCTACATGGCAGGTGTTCAGGAGAAGGCGGCTGAGCCGGACTGCATGGAAGGCACACGTGGCTTCCCAATATTATTTGCCTTCTGAAGCTCTGTGCCAGATGCTGAGTTCTCCTCATCGTCATTCATCGAGTTATAAACATAGATAAAATATTAGGAAAATCACTCTGCTTAAAAAAAAATTATTTCCACCTTATCCTTTTACAACAGAGCAAGCACACAGCTTGATTTTTTTAAAAAAGATTCTAAGAGCTAAACCGAACTTGCTACTAACCATTTTGAAAGGCTCACTACAAATCACACGGTCTCCTGCAACCCCCCTGTTCTTACAAACCTTGACAGGTCACTGAAGGAATTATCCTCAAGATTCACATTACAGTCCAGACACATGGGGCGCGTCAGTGGCTCGCCCAACCACTCACCCTTGGTAACAACCCAGCTGAGATTGTCCACAAAAGTTTAAAGAAAGGACTTTCGAATTTGACCACCAGTTAACGTGTGACCAGTGCCCCTCCCCCCAGCTGCTCTGCATTCGGCATCTGCTGTAAAGCCCGGCCCCCTCGGGGAACCCGCTGAACCCTCTTGTCTTAGTTGATCTAGGCTACCAGGCGGCCACTTTGGAGAGAAGACTCAAGTAAGGCAAAGTGGTGCGGCTCTGATAAGGCACGCTGCGTCCACGTTCAGGTGCTTGAAGTCCACACGTGCATCTGTTTGGCAACCTGGTGCACATATCCGATGTCCGGTCTCTGGTTGGGGTCGGGGTAGATGCACATACTGACCAGTTCTCGCAACTGTAAGAGAGAGAACGCTGCGTGTTACTTGTAAGGAAGCAGCAGCCTCTTGAGGCTCTGCCGGCACTTGACCTGTCTTGACTCCTTCAACCCTCGCGGCTCTGGGGGGTGAGGGATGGCACTTCCGGTAAGTGACGGGTGTGCAGGCATGGCCACCGCGGAGAGCCAGCCGAGACCAGTCCTGCGCCTATCCGGCCCCGAAGGCCATGCTCCGAGACCTCGCAAGCGGGTACGTCCAGACAATCGTGAACTTCCAGCTGCCCACGCTGCTGTGTGCGTGTGTGTGTGCGCGCGCGCGCGTGCTGTCGGTCATGCGGATACCCAAACCAGAGGACAAAACTCAAGGCGAGGGCTTATTGATGATAATAAATGCATTAACATGCAGCAGGGCTGCAGTCTGCCCACCCCCTGGCCTCTTTATTGTGCTCATGAAAGACAGAGCTTTTAATTATACAGACACCGAAGGCTGCTCCTGCCTCGGGGTGGGGGAGGGGCGCCTTGAGCCTCTGATCCCCTCGTTCTTCTGATAGCCAGAGTGCCAATTATTTTAATGGTAATTAAAATAATGACCTTAAAAAGCCTACGTCTCAACTTGCATCACTGGGCTCGCTGCAGTTTTAAATACCTGGTGCTGGAGGGGCTGGCCGGCCCTGGGGTCGGGGGCAACAACGGAGAGACTCTTGGTTCCCAATAAGGGGGCTCGTGTGGACTCGGTGGCCACGCTCAGGGAGTCTGGGGAGGGCGGAGGGGTCACGTGGAGGCCCCAGGGCTACTGTACGTGCTCCATGTTTCACACCTGAGGTGTTTCGGGGTGCAGACGAGGTTTTTCCGGGTCGGGCATTGGGAGCATCTCCTCCAATCCGCGTGCCGCCTTTTTGGGGTTCCGCTGCTTTCTCGGCACCGGGAAGCCCCCCGGACAGGCGCTGAGGCCGAGTCTGCGGTCAGCCCAACACGCCTGGAGTCTGAGGCTGCCCACGACAAGCACGTACTTTTCAGAGCCCGACAGCAGTCAGGGGAAGGTGGCGGCTGGCCCCTGACAGCTTAATGTACCCAAGAAAAATACATCAGGGTAAAGTCATTGTGACTCCCAGTTACTCCTCTGTGAGTGGACTGTGCGGTTGGCAAGAAGAGCAAGTTTGGTAAACTTCAGAAATCAAGAGAAACAGACAATAAAGTGTCTTTATACCCATTTCTAAGAGGTGATGTAAACTTCAAAAGTGAGGTGTACTGAGTGACTCCAGTGCTAAGAAGCATCTCTCCTTAACACACTGCCTAGAAATGCTTGGTGTACGAGGTGAAAGCCAGATGCCCTGGGGAGTACGAGGTCACGGAGTTGGAATGATGGACTTGGGAGGGAAGGGGGCTGAGGGCTTTACTCAGCAGATTCATTCATTTCAGCTTCTGTCTGGAAGGCAGAGAGAAGTTGTGATCTCCAAATTGCAAGTCTAAGCTTCTAAATGGTACAGAGTTCCAAATTTGTTCATTTACTTATTTTTTAAAGTTTTGAAAATGCTATTTGTTTGTTTATTTATTTATTTGAGGGTGGGGCGGGGGGGGGGGGGGGGGGGGGGGGGGGGGGACAGAATCTGAAGCAGGCTCCAGGCTCTGAGCACAGAGCCCAACACGGGGCTGGAACTTGTGAACCGTGAAATCATGACCTGAACTGAAGTCGGATGCTTAACTGACTGAGCCATCCAGGCACCCCTCCCAATTTAAAACGGTAAGAAAAGAGGGGCCCCTGGGTGGCCCAGTTGGTTAAGTATCCAACTCTTGATACTGGGTCAGGTCATGATCTCGCGGTCATGGGATCGAGCCCCTCGTCGGGCTCCATGCTGAGCATGGAGCCTGCATGGGATTCTCTCTCTGCCCCTCCCTCTCCCTCACACACACACACGCACACACTCTCTCTCTCTCTCAAAAATAAACTTAAAAAAAAAAAAAAGGTAAGAAAAGAAAAACCAAATGCAACTATTAACTTGGTTAAGAAATCTAGTTTTTCCTTTCCTGCCAACTTCCACTCCAGAGCACTTTGACTTCTTCCAACGATACGTAAAAGAATTCTGTAAACCACTGAGGCAAAGGCCATGAGACTGTGTACTGAACAACCCAAGGAATGTGTACTCCTGGTCCTCTCTCTCTCTTCTGGGAGCGTGCAAAGCCAGTGAGCACGGCCTTAAGTACGAAGGCTGCCAAGAGAAGGGTGGCTGACGACCCTTTTGGCCGGCCTGCCTGGACATGGGGTTCAAGCACGTTGGGAGACCTGGTCTCTGCAGCTCAAGCCCCTGGGAGACCAGGGCTGCCCCTTTCAGAACCTTCGGGATGGGGATCGCAGCGAGCTGCACAGGTGGCGCCTCATCCCAGCTGGACACCTGGGTACTGGAGACATGTGCCATCAAGATACGCTGGCACAGTGGTTGGGGGTGGAGTCTCTGGGTTCAAATCCTGCCTCCACCGCTCGCAAGTTACGTGACCTTGGGAAAGTTACTTTAACCTATCCGTGTCTCGGTTTCCTTAGTAAAATGGGAGTTGGGGAGCGGGAAGGACTCAACGGTAAGTCATAAACATGGGCTGTTACCGTGACAGTAGCTTCCGGTCAGTGTTAGCCTGGTGCTAAACTGAGCGCATCACGTGCATTACCCTCATCCCTACGCCGACCCTGTGAGGTACAGTCTAGGATCATCGCCACATTACAGACGAGGAAACGGAGACTCAGAAGGGACTCACCCAACAGCGGTGAAGGGAGCGTGCAAGTGAACACATCTGTCTACGCCCTCAGCCAGGCTGTGTCGTAAACCTGCCCTTTCATCTTCACATTTGATTCACAAAGGTGAAATCTTAGCCCTATTTTCAAGAAGACGGACCTGAGGAAGGGGACACTCAGCCAGTAGCTGCCACGACCCAATGCCAGACCTGTCCGTCTGTACCCAGAGCAGAACGCTGACGGTAAGAACCCAAGGTGTGACTCAAGTCTGTGACAGTAGGGAGACCAGTCCGCTTGCCGTGGCTTCCGGTCGTGGGAGCGGAGTAGCAGCCAGCCGGCCGGGCTACGGGGCAAGCCAAGGCCCCGCCGCCTCCCGCCTCCGCATCTGGTTCCTGTTGTCTGACACCACGTGGAGCCCGTCTCTGCGACCCGCAGCGGCGAGCGTCCCACTCAAGCACCGGGTTGGGAGCCAAATGGGCAGAAGTGTGCCCACGGGGCCTCCCCGGCCAGCTCCTGCTGGATTCGGTGCCGGTGGGCAGGCCACAGACTGCTGCTGGGGGCCCACACTGGTGTCTGTGAAACCTCTCCCGTAAAACTAATCTACTTTGCCCCCTCACTGAGTCGCTTTCCCAGAAATGTCCACCCGGCGAGGTGAACCCCCGCTCAACCCCATAAGATGCCTCTGCTCGTGAGCCACTGCTGGCCATCGGAGTCCCCAGGTCTGGTGACAGCAAACCCACCTTCTCAGAGTAATGTTCTCCAGGGAGAGGTGGGTAGTCACATTGCTCGATCTTCTGGCAGAGGGAGAAGAGATTCATTTTATCTCCATAGAAGGGGCTCTGGAGAGCTGCCATCTGCAAGGGGAGAGGGTGAGAGGCGTGAGTTTGCAGCCCTGAGGTCCGGGGACAAAAGGGACCGCTCCGGATGGCCGTACGGTCCTTCTCTGGTCCTTGCTGCGACTGTCGGGCAGGCTGTCTTCACAACCCCGACGAAGCTGGGATTCAATAGAAAGCAGCAGTTTTAACGTCTTAAGCAAGCGGCACAAGGTTTCAGTGACAAAACCCGAAGGGCAACGAGGCGGGGCCAGCCGCGAGCAGGCACACCCCGCCTCACACCTCAGCTCCCAAGGCCTGAGTTTTGGCCGTGCGTGCCGCGCCGGCAGACGGAAAGAGGCTCTGCTCACCGGGATCGGGGCCCAGCAGGCCCGCTCTGGTGCCCTGTCTTCTACTTCTAAGAAGCAATTCCAAAGACACCCGTGGGAGGATGTCCGAGGAGTACATTCAGGGAATTACTTACCCGAGGACTAGCGTGTTGGGGGGTGGTGGGGAGGTAAGGTTTTGGTTTGCATGCTATTTCGCTAGCTGCGAGTTCAGGGTTCTCTGTGGAAGCTGGACGCCCAGACATCATCAGGGAGGAGGGGCGGGAGGAAGAAGGCTGGCCGTTGGCCGCCGACGGCAGGGGCCTGGGACCCTCCGCTCGGCAGAAGCTCCAGAGTGGAAGCAAGTGCCCGGCTCTGCGCTCTGCCTGCTGCGTCTTCTGTCTTCTGCCCTCTGGTCTCTTCGTCCATAAAACGGAAAGACGCTCCACGCACAGGGCTGTGGCGAGGCGTGGCTGGCACCAGAGGCGCCAGGAGCTGAGGCTTCCCGGACTCCCCACCCCGACCGTTCAAGGCACTACTGGCGGGGTGTCTTCAGAGGGGGTACGTGGGAGCTACGGGCGGCTCCGTCAGGTAGCCACGTGGTGGCCCAGCGCAGTGCCCGCCGGCCCCATCTGCTGATTAATCTACGATGGGATTCAAGTGCTTCTTGTCACTCCCACTCACTGTCGCCTGCCTCCGAGAGACGGCCCAACGCCTCCCGCTGATTAAGTGCCCTTGGGTAATTGTGCCTGCCCGTCCGTTTGGCCTCGGTTCCCTTCGAGGAGCCGGGCTGCCAAGGCCACTCGGTGCAGACTCCTTGGCCGGGGCACTGGGCTACCCGAGGACTCCTCACTTGTCCTCGGGCCCCGGAGGACAGGCCAGCAAGCGCGATCTCAGGGCAGGAAGGAGCCCATGGGTGCTGGGTTTATGGGTGCCCGCTAGCTTTAGTGTCCCGGTCTGCCCCCCATCCTCTGTTCACCCCGTGAACAGGTCTGGCGGCCCCCAGGGCAGGGCGGCCTCCTTCAGGAGGGCCCAGGGGGCTTCAGACCCAGGCAGCATCCTTGGGTCTACACACGGCCTTTGGGGAAGCAGCCGAGCGTGACCTGGAGACTGGTTTCCTCTGACCCCGGTCCAGGCGTCTGCCCGGGGCGGCACCTGTGCGCCCAGGTGCCTGGGCCACGCTCGAGCTTTCAGGTGGACGTTTAGGGCCGGCCTCACCCCTCCTCCCGTGACCAGGGACTCCGACCCCCACTGAGGAGGGCTGCGGGGAGTGGCCCTGGTCTTCGGCAGGGAAGGCTGTGTACGTGGAGGCCCTGCCCGCCGCAGGCTCCGCCAGCCTGACAGGGAGCTGGCTTTACCACTGAGTGTGCAAAATGGCATCGCTCGGGTGATGCGTTTCCAATAGTTAAAATGAGAGCCTCGGGTGCAAAGGGTTAATTGGGCAGCTTCAAAAGGACATCTGTTGCCACAGCGGAGAGCAGCTGAGGCTCCGGGGCGGTCACTCGGGGTGATCTGCGTGCCCCGCGAGTCGTGGCTAGATGATTAAGACAGATTTTCCTGGAAAGTGTTTCTGCTCAGAGTAGAAAGGACATTTAAAATGTTGGTCCACTAACACAGGCCCTGGCTTTCCATGTGTTGGAGCTGGGAGGCTGGCGAAGCCCTTCGACGAGCCAACCTGGTCTGCACGAACCTTGCTGTTTAGGAGTCCAAAAGGGCCCCAGAAATTGGTGGCCTTCAGCGCACCCCTGACTCCTTTCCGGCACCCTCCCACACAGGCCTGACCGGGGTCGGCAGCGGCTCCACCAGGGAAGCCCCCCCCCCCCCCCCCCCCCCCCCGGCCTCCCCGCTGACAGCGGCTTCTCCATCCACACAGGCAGATTCTAGTGGCAGCGACGTCCCCCCACCGCTGCCCCTCCAGCTGCGGGCCCTGGGCCTTCCACCCGGATCAGGGCACTGGGCTGTGAAGGAACCTCGGGCTGCCCAAGAGGCTGGGATTAGAACGATTACCCCGAACGACGAGATCCTCGCACCGGCGACCACCCACGTCTGCATGGGCGCCGCGGAGGAGGAATCGCCATTTGGGGCCGATCCTGGCTGTCTGTCAGGGCTGCCGGAGCCGTGGCTCTCAGCGCTGCTCCTCAAATGCAGAACTGTCCCTCTGCAGCGTTATCGGGATGACACATGACCGGGGACCTGGGAGAGTGCCGGCACTCGCCCCTGCGGGGGGTGCTCGGAGAGACTGGTGTGCGATCTGAGATGTCACAGGAAGAAGGGCAACTGCCTTTGACTCCTGCTCTGTCGGGGCCTCCGACGCCCATCTTGTCACCTAGTGTCTCCTAGAGGCCAATCACCAAGCGGTCTGCGGCCCTGTTCCGCCACGAGGTAAAGGGCAGCAGGACCACGCTCTGGGTCAAGCCATGATTTCAAACGCGCCTCTGTGCCAGGGGCGGCTGATTCTTAGTCTGTTTCCCCGACTGCTTTCTTGCTGGGTCTCAGTCCCTTGAGGCTGCTGTGAGAAGGTCCCCTGCCGAAGATCCTGAGGCTGGCACCGGATGAGCCAATTCCTTCAGCTCGTGCTTCAGAGCTGAGCTCTCGTGTAAATAAATAAATTCCGCAGAGCCCAGGCAGTCTGCCGGACTGTAGTGAAAACAAAGCCCCGGGCCTTCTAACAAGGCCAAGCCCCAGCATCTCTGGGACAGAGGGGAGGCTGCTGAAGTCACTTGGGGCTCCTGGCTCCTCACAACCTGGTCTTTCGTCTCCCAGGGGCTCTGGGCAGAGGCCCGGGTCCCTTTCTCCACCAGGGGCGCCTACTCCAGAAGGCCTGCCCGTCCTGTGTGGCCAGGGCCTGGCTCCTGTCCACAGGGGAGTGGGCTCTGACAGGCAGCCTGGGGACAAGCGCCCATCCTGGCCACTTTCCTGCTGTGTGACCCTGGGAAGTCTCTCCACTTCTCCGAGCCTCAGTTTCCTCCCACAGAGCCAGGCAGGGACTGGCCTAACGTGATTTCCCTGATTCACCCCAACGTCCCGGGCGGCGCTGGCCTGGCGGGGCTCCCCGCTGCTGAGCCAATTGGCCGGTTTCTCCTGGTGCTGACCTTTTCAAGACAGATCCCGGTTTGCGCCCACTCCTGGGGGACACAAGCCGGTGCTTTGTGGCAGCTCCTCACTAGCCACGGGTCCAACATCAGCATCTTAAAGTGACCTCAGGAGTTCCTCCCTGGATACGGGGATGCCGTGAAAGGGGCATGGTGGGCTGAATAAAGGCTCCCAGAAACGTCTGTCTCTTAATCCTTGAAGCCTGTGAACATGTTACCTTAAATTCCAAAAGGGAGTCAGCAGATGTGATCGAATTAAGTACCCCAGATGGCAGGTTCTTCTGGGTGGTCCAAGTGGGTCCTATATGTAACCACAAGTGTCCTTACATGAGGGAGGCCGAGGGGGATTTGACTGCAGAGGAGGAGACGTGTCGCCAGAGTGCTATGAGGAGGGGGTCACGAGCCAAGGAATGCAGGTCACCTATTTTCCATGGAAAAGGCAAGGAAATGGGCTCTCCCTAGAACCTGGAGAAGGAACCAGCCTCACCAACACGTGCTGTCCACTGAAATCGATTCTGGATTTCCGGCCCCCAGAACGGTAAGCGGATAATGTTGTTTTCGACTTCGTGATAACCTGTTACAGCAGCCAGAGGAAACTCACACGGGGGGCTTTTGAGACTTCCAGTCCATGCTGGGGCTCCGGGAAGGGCAGGCCTGGCCGCATCGGGCAGGTTTTCTCTCGCTCTGTGCTGTCGCCCCAGACCTCACGCACCCCCCGCCCCCACCAGGCTCAGGTGTGTCCCTCCGGAGCCACGCCGAATCCTCAGATGTGGTCTGGAGGGGCTGCGTGGGCGCGGAGCCTCTGTGACAGCTCCTCTCGCCGGCGCTCCTGGAACCCACCCCAGGCTGCTTAGCGGGAGCTCCAGCCGTGTCTGCGGGATGCTTCCTCCCAATTACCAAGCCCTGGGCACAGATGCATCTCCCTCCCTGTCTGCTGGGAAAACATCCGCTCCCCGCGGGGCCGGGGGTGTGGGGAGAGGGGTGGTGTCCTGCCGCAGAGCCCCTGCCGCCTGACATCCTCCGAGAGGCTGGCCACGGCTGGCCACATCAGCCACACTAGCCCTCTTCTGTGGGAGGCCCAGGTCCTTAGATCAGTGCCCGCTGTCCCCAAGGATGTCCATGCCCGAAGGACTTGACTGATTTCATTGACCTCCCACTGCCAACACGTCCCTCCCTGGCTGCCAGCTGTGCGGCCCCCCATGCTGCCGACACGTAAATCAGCTCGGCCGAACGAGAGGCTGGTGCTGGTGAGCCACGAACGCGGACGCTGCCTTGTTTAGATGCGTGTTTAGGTGCCACCGAGACCCAGAGGACCGCCTACCGGGAACCCACGGGCCGAGTGTGGCGGGCCTGGGTGGGCATCGGCCTCCAGAAGCCGAGACAAAGGCTCGGGCAGGGAGCAGGGCGGCTCTGTGCCCGGGGCTTGGCACAAGCACAGGGAGCCAGCTGCCACCCTCTGGCCCCGGGGAGATGAGCCTGCCGCCTGCCGCACCCACCCTGGGCTCACACCCTGGTCGGTGGCCTGCGTGTCTGTCTGTTTATGTTTGCAGACCCTCGGGGTTCACAGAGGCAGGAAGCGGCTTACGGAAATCCCAAGCCCGGAATGGAAAAATAAGAGAACCAAACCATCTGGACCAGGGACAATATCCATGAGGGCAGGGGGACAAAGCTGAGTCCTCCATGGAAAAGGGGGCCAAGCTGCACTCTGGTTTCCTGCTGGCCAAAGCAAAAAGGGAAACGTGGCCAGTTGTGGGGTAGATGCCAACTGATCGGCCTGCACTGGGTCAGCAGCTCCAGGCAGCAGGTGGGGGGGGGGGCAGGGGCGGGGGATAATGAACTTCAGTGACCTGCCTGCCATTGCCAGAGGGCTTTCTCTGAGCCACGCTCTGTTGGTGCCTCACAGCAAGGGACGGTGTGACTCCATTTTGTACTGGGGCGACGGAAGCTCCTGGAAGGAGCTGACTTGCCCCAGGGCCTTCATGGGGTGAGGGGGCAGCCGAGCTCTGAACGCAGGTCCTTCTGCCCAAAGTGGCCCCACACCAGGATCCTGCGCGCTCTCACCCAAATTATCGCAGCCACGTGACTTAGCTGCATGCACGCGTGCACACAGTTGGATTCAAACTCACACGCCCTGCCCCCTGCTACACGGAGGGCATCCGCCTGGTCCTGGGGAGACCGGGAGCGGCAGCCCGGCCCCCTGAAGACTGACCCCGGGGTGGACGACGCCCGGTTAGTGGGGAGCTGGAACCCACTCCTCAGAGGGGCAGGGGGGCAGGGCTGTAGGTACAGAAGCACGGAGCCCGGGGAGGGTGGGCTTGGCTTTGTCACTGGCCTTAGCCCTGGTGACCCTGGTGTTCACCTGAAGAAGAGACTGTACTTGGAGAGATGGCTGGAGAGACCCCGAAGTCATGATTCATCTTGGGAGGCAGATACCGGTGCCAGAGATTCTGAGACTCCGGAGCTTTGCCCACCTGGCTTTCATTCATTGTAGGCAAAACGCAACCGAACAAGCCCTCTGGGGCCATTACGAATGTGCAGGCACGTGGGGCACCCAGTAAAAGCGGGTTTCTTTCCTTTCCTGTCATCCTTGCTGAGGAGAGTTCCGACTTTCATCTCTTTTCTCTTGTTGCTAAAGACGCCAATTCCCCTCCACATTCCCTCCCGCACCCACTGTCCTTCCCAAGGTCACCGCCCACCCCCCTGCTCAACCACTCTGACTCCCAAACCCCACGGCAGCCGGGCTGTGGAGGGAGACAGGGACGGGGAAGGATACAGAACGCAGCCCTCTTCCGCCTGAGGGGGCCAGGAACTGCCCTGCGCTCCCTGATCCACTGCGGCCACCAGGTGGGCACCACCACACCCCGGCTGCTCCCGTTCGGTGGCCATTAAAAGAATTCCTCCCACCACAGATGCCCTGTGGGGTCCCGGAAAGCAGGTCTGCTCCCCATCTCTGACAGTCAGGGTCCGACTCCCCCTCAGACCTTCAAGATGACACCGTGGGTGGCCCACACTGCTGACCCCCGGGAGAAGGGGGTCCCAGGCACAAATGCCACCTGGCTTCCTCTTTAACCACTAGGTTGCTTATTTAGAATGAAATGTCTGCTGCTCTTAAAAGCATTTGAGTTGCTGTGAAGTTTCAACCTTGCAAAGGGATCAGTTTTGACCTCAGAGTCTCAATCAGTAACGTGGGGAGGGGGGGACCCTACTGCCAAAGGCCCTGACCACAGAGGCAACCACGGTCCCCACGTGGATCAGCAGTGGGCAGCTTTTTCCTTAAGTTCGCGCCCAAGGACTGTGAGGTCAATTCCCAGAGGCAACAGTCCCAAGGAAGCCAAGAAACCAGTCTCCGTGACACCCACACACTCCCGGTGGCCCCTGGCTGCTACCTTGAGCGTCGCCGCCCTGGCGGTCACGGGCCACGTCAGCGTGATAAGGGGCCTCTTCAGCTTCTCACTTCTGAGCCAGACCCCACACGTGCTCAAGTCAGCTCCGGGGAAAGCAGAAAAATAATCAAGGTTCCAATTTTGAAAGCAAACCGTGCTTTCTGGTCTCATGGCCCTTGGAGGATTGTCAAAGCTTTTCACATCTGTTGTTGCATTTATCTGGATGGTGACGGTGCAGGATGGGTACTATTCCCATTTTACAGATGGAGAGGCGGGCTCGGCAGGATGCACAGAATCCCAGAGCTGCCCGGCACGACGGGGCCAGGGCCAGGGTGCTGGAGGGTGTGGCTGCCAGCGTGAAGACACGGGAGGGCTCAGGCCCCCTGCCCTCCCACTGGCGACTGCAACAGCTTCATGGCTAAGAATGGCTTATGCTCCCAGACCCCCAAGGGTGGCTGGCCAGAATGAGCGGGAGCTTCTATTTGTTCATGGCGTCTCATGTCTGAGCCTGCCAAGACTCAGAAATATTCCCGTCCTTCCATCCAGATTGACCACCACATCTGGAAGTGGCCATTTGGTGGCTCCATTTCATGGCTCACGGGAGGGAACAGTGGTCTTTAGTGAGACCCATATTGCTGAGCCCGGGAGAGTGTGGACACCCTCTGTGGCGAGGGCTTCAGAAGCATGGGCCAGAGCTGACCCCTTCTGTCCCCAACAGAAGCCTGAGGCATGGGTGAATGTCAAACAGTGGACAGGAACAACCTGGTTACCAGGGAAACTGGGGCAACCAGACCCCCTGCCTGTGCCACAAGCAGACACTGGACTCTGTTTCTAGTCTGTCTCCCTCTGAGCTGCCCAAGGGTGGCATGGAACCCAGTCTGCCACTGGTCACACATCTAACAATGTCCTCCAGTCCAACGGTGTTACTCAGGCAGACGATGGGCTGAGTGGGGTGAAGGACAGGACCCAGATCGTGCCCATGTCACAGGTGGACACCGTACATCCCTGGGTTCCCACCTGGAGCTGGTCGGGGGAGCCCTGCCCCGGCTGGGTCCCTGACACGCATGCCTCCCTGAACGCCGCTGAGCCGTGAGGCAGACACTCACCTCATACAGCAAACAGCCCAGAGACCAGATGTCGGACTTGAAGTTGTAGCCATTCTCGTGGATCCTCTCCGGTGACATGTAGTACGGCGTCCCCACTGCAACACAGGAAGACGGAAGAGGGGTGGGTGCTTATGCTCTGTGCGGGGAAGGACATAAGAGGGAGGGGAAGGTGTGGAGGCTGGGGAGAGATCCAGCCTTGGTCTTCCCGGGCGCCTGGGCAGCCCCCTCTCGCTCTCCGCCTGTCCCCCCTCAGCCAGAGGAGACACTGGACAGGACTGGAGCTCCCACACCGGGTAGGGTGCTAAAGCCCCTGGGGACAGGGACCTCCTCAGACCTGAGAATCAGCCTGGGGGCTGGGCAGCTGGGGACAGTGTTTCTGCCAAGGGCCCGGGGGTGTGGGATGCAGTGGCCAGGCTCTGGGAAGCAACTGATCAAATGTCCTTTAGGGTGAGTGCTTGAATCCTAGAAGAGTCCAGATTTCTCAACAGTGGGAAGGAAAAAAAAAAAACCCAAAAACCTGTTAATGCTGACCTAACATTCGTGTTCCTAACAGTCCCCCCAAGGAGGCATACCCACTTTACAGATGGGGAAATGGAGGCTCAGAAAAGCAGCGGGACTACAGTTCAAACACAGATCTTTAGGTTCCAGGAAGTGAGCTCTTAGCCACTACCCTTGGCTGGCACCAAACGGCATGTCCAGACTTGGGGTTGGCCAAGATGTCTTAAATCAAACCGAGGACAGAAAAGATAGTAACCATAAAAGAAAAGACTGATAAACTGGACTTCACTAAAATTACGGACTTCAGTTCCCCAAAAGACCATTTAGAGAGTCAAGGCAAGCTGCAGGCTGGAAGAAAACAGTCCTTCCATACATATATCCAACAACGGCCCCATACACAGAATATTTTAAAGCATCTATAATTCAGTAAGTAGAAGACAAACAACCCCCTCTCTCAAGTTAGCAAAAGACTTGAAAGGGCACTTCACAAAAGAGAATTTCCAAGCGGCCAATAAGCACATGAAATGGTATTTTTCTCATTACTCATCAAGGCAACACAGATTAAAAGCACAGCAAATTACCACCATCCACCCACCTGAGGTTAAAGTTAAAAAGACAGATATAAACCAAGCCTGATGATGTGGGGGGGCAACTGGAACCCTCGCGTATTGCCGATGGGGACAAAAAAATAGTACACCCACCTTGGAAAACCATCTATCGAGCCGAAAACGCTGCTGATCCCATAACCTGCCAGGTCTGTTCCCAGGCCAATGTCCAAGAAAAATGAGTGCTTCTGTCCATCAAGAGCCACGATCAAGAATGTGCAAAGTGGCTTTATTCACGATAGCCAGAAACTAGAAACAAAAGCCAATCGACGCTAGAATGGATAAATTGCTAACGTGGCCTGTTCACACAATGGAACAGTAAACATCAACAAACAGGAGCCACGAAACTGATCCATCTCGCAGACACGGTGTTGAGTGAAAGCAACCGTGACAGAAGGGCATGCGCTATCTGATTCCATTTTTATCAAGAACAGGATATGTATATACGTGAGAATTCAGTTAAAAAGCAGAGAGGGCACACCCTTGATGATGCGGAATTAATTGTACAAAGATGAGAGGGTTTCCTGAGAGGAGGTGAGCTCCTCATCACCAGAGGCATGCAAACTGCAGCAGAGGGGCTGCTTTGGCGGGGCGGGGGAGGGGCCCAGAGTCAGGATTTGTAAACAGATCTGTGGTCTGAGACTCTGATCCCAGTCCATTCGGAGGATGACTGTCCTGGATGCTTTGCGATCAGACCTTAAAGGTTGCTACACAGAGAACATTTCCACTGGCCTGCAGATGCCATCTGGACATGATGGTGGCTGCTGCTGCTCCAGCCAGAGTCTGTGTAAGGAGCCGGAGTCCAGGGGCGCCTGGGTGGCTCAGTCGGTTAAGCGTCCGAC